GCTCCTTCTCATCAGCTGCCTTCTCATTCCCACCAGCTGCCTTGGCTTCTGCGTCATGAGATTGCTCCTCCGGTTCCTGCATGAGTCAAACGTGGTTGCACAAGTTTTGATTGGCTGCAACTTGAACCATTCATTGGTTAACAAACAAAAAATGCAAGTTGTTTTGCCAAGCTTGGTATTAAGAGGCCACATAAATAGTCTTGGCCTACCGGTCCAAAGTCTTTTCCCCCCACAGCTCCTTCTCATCAGGTGCCTTCTCATTCCCATCAGCTGCCTGGTCTGCTGCATCATGAGATTGCGCCGGCTCCTGCATGAGTCATAACGTGGTTGCACAGGTTTGGATTCTGTACACTGCACCCTGCACCCGTTCAGCAATCGTTCATCGGACAACAAACAATAGGCATCAGGCTTGGTAGTAAGAGGCCACATAGTCCCACCACAGCTCCTTCGCATTAGCTGCTGCATCGAAAGAATTAGTGAGACTCTTCTTGCAGTTCGATTCCGCTGCCACCACCACCTGCCAAAAAATGTCTATAAGTCTATAAATGTAATGTGCAAGATCCGAGTTGTGTGCAATTTTCTGAGGTGTATGTTTGTTTAGACAAAGCCAATGCCAACCCCTGGCCTCCTTGCTAGCATCAGCTGTTTGGAGCCATTTAACAAAGAGCTCAACGTCAGCAATGGGGTCTGACGATTCTGCATTTCCAAATTCAAAATCGTCCCCCAAATCTTCCCCATAGGTGGCATGCAAGTAGGCCAGATGTTGTTGAAATAGCGGATGTGACTTTATCTTTGTAATCTCGTAGTCAATGTTGTAGTCGGCATCCTTGAATAACACGCTGTACACGACTCCTGGATCCATACTGTAGTCAATCACCTTGACAGGCCACTGCTTCAGTCCAGTGTCAGTTGGCTGGGTTGGCTGGGTTTGCGTAGGGACTGCTAGAGCAGGATCCTCAGCGCTGCTTGTTGTTGGGGGCTGCAGCCGCTCACGCTTCACAGCAGGCTCTGTAACGACTTCCACCGTCTTCCCAGCTGAAGGGGCCTCTGACGGAGCATCCACCATGCTGCTGGAGTTGCCAGGAATCTCCTCAACAAGCGTAGGAGTCGGAGTGGTTGGCATCACTTTCTCAGGCTATTTGGTCGCTACAGACTTACTATGTTCTCTCCCTTGAATTTGAAGAACAAACCAACAAACTAGGAGTCAGGGTCATAGGAGTAGGCGTGGGCTGTAGGACAGCCTTAAGTTTTAAGGGAGTTACTGAATTAAACAGGTTTGTTGAAGTAAAAACATGGCTCGTCCAAGGCTTGGAGGGCAGACAATGCTTTCTCCATTTGCTGAGAAACCTCTTGATCTACAGCTTCCCTTCTGTTGAACTCATCAGGGTGGTACTCCTGTAGATCAGCCAGATCACGTTCAACCTGTTTTGGACTTTGGCCCCTGGGTATGGTTCTGGCCAACATGGTTGTCAAATCCTCTTCCTCACCCCAAACCTTTGGCTTTGGCAGCTTGGGCACCTTTACCCCCGTGGCCGCTGCCGCTGCTTCTTGCTGTCCCCCTTGTGCACGAGCGCGACCAACTCGGACACGAAATGGTTCCATCTGGGATCAGGCGACCGGTGGTCAAAGGTCAACATCGCTGTGGAACCTCTTAAGCAAAGCAATACGTATGTTGATATTGGTACCTATTGCTGTCTTTGATTAGTATACAAGGATACAGTGTGGGCAGGAAACCAGGGGCCTCCTGGTCCTTCCAGCCCAAATAGTCATCCTCAATGACATCAAGAATCCCTTGTGGAAGTTTTTGCCTCAGACCGGTCAGCACTGATTAAATATAAACATTATCATTAACATATGTTGTTTTTGTGAGGATGTGTGTGGAATCTGGAATTTCAAGTTCACAAAAAATATGTGTTCACCGTTGTTGACCTGTTCTTTCAGCGGCACTTATCGAGTGATGGGTGTCAAAACATGGAGCCATACAAAGAAACCATGAAAAACATAGAAGCTCTTCAGCTCGGCTCAGCTTCTCTGGGAACACTTGTGTTGCCAACTTCAAGCCAGGAAGGTTGTCATAGCACATAAAACTTGATGGCACCTTGAGCCAAATGTTGTTCTGTGCGACAGCCTTCTCGACAACCACGGTTGCAGGCGGCATCCACAAAACCTGAGCCAACACTTCAACTGTTCAACAGTTTGGTTTCTAAGTTCTAGATGGCCTTGGTAAAAGGTCATGAGTCATGAGCATTGGGCCAACCCTTTTACACCAGACCAGACCTGATTAGACACCCAGTAAAGCAACTGACAAGGAACATCGTTCGGGTTCAGCCAACCATGACACAAAGACCACATCTTGGAGATCTCATCATGTTCATCCGTAAGCTGCTCCAGCGCTGTGCAACATTTGACAAGGTGGTCAAAACCGCTGAGGCTCTCATCATTTTCCGAGACCAGGCTATTCACCTGAGACAATGGTAAGGTAGGTGTGAGAAAAAAACACACCAGCAGGCCAGCAGGGCCACACCGCGAGTCTCAAAGCACAAATTACAAAACTGGATTCACCCTACTCAAGTCTAGACTAGATTCACAAATGCCTAAAGCCGTCCCTGGTCACTGGTCACTGAGTCACTGTCCCATTTTTTTGCAAGACACTTCTGCCATGTCGCAAAAGACCATCACACGCGAGCCCTCAAGTTGGTACTGCACATTGGCTGTGCAACCAGGCAGGGTTCCAGTGAAGCTCTTCCCACGCTGAAACCCTTGAATGAAGATGGTCTGGAACTTTGTGATCTCTGCTTGGACACTCGCTGGCACATCTGTGTCCCCAGCCCTGCCCAGGTCACTGGTTTTGGACACCACCCGATCAACATCCAAAATTGCAGTGGGATGCGTTGGCGGAGTCTCTGCAAAGTGTTCCTCCAGCAGGAAATCCAAGCTCAGGCTTCCAATCAGATCTTGGCATGTATCTGCTAGTGGGCGAATCTTCTTGGTCTTGTTGGGATTTGCCTGGCGGCCGTTGTTGGCCCAAGGCATTGTCAACTACAAAAAAGTGAGCGTTGACAATTGGCAATTGACATTGTAGAAAAGAAAGGTAGTTAGTAGTACTGTACATGTTGTTGTCAAACACTGCCAATAAAGAAATGTAAACAGGAAAATCAATATTATACACCACACCCACCTCCCAGCCCATGTCCCCCAGCCTCCATAGTCTCAGCAAATTCTGCGCTAAACTGGGTTTTGTCAGCAGACACGCCAATGCAAGCAGTGGTTGCATCCTTGGTTGTAGATCCATGGTGTTCCAGCGATTTCTTCAAGCATGACCGTGTACACCGCCAAATGCAGGGAACACCCAAAGCAATTGTCTCTACAAACGATTTGCCATCCCGCAGAACTGGAACAGCCCGACCAGGAAGTTTGGCGCGGAGAATTGCATGATCGCTTTCTGACAAATCACCTGCTCCCTTCCCTTTCCTTGCCTTTCCAGATCCAGTCTTTGGCTTCTCCTCGTCCTGAGGCTCATCCGGGTGAGGGCCTGCTCTCTTCTTGGCCTCGGCCGCCAGGGCCTTGGCCTCTTCAGCTTTTCTCTTCTTCGCCTCTTTCTCTGCTTTCTTCTCTGCTTTCTTCTGTTCATCTTCCTTTTGTTTCTGTAGCCGACGTTCCTCCTTTTTCATGAACTCTGCTTCTTCCTTCCTTGCCTTCTCTAAGGCAGAGATCTGGGCTTGATGTTGGGCCACCGCTTGCAGAGCCGCATCAGTAATGTCCAGGAAAATCTGTAGAGCTCGCAGGTGGTTGTTGCCAGAAACTCGGACCTTACGGACTCTGACTCTGACTTCCAAAAAAAAATCAGAGCTTCAACTTCCCCAGTGGGTGTCCTGTGAAATCACAAAACCCACAAAATTAGCCTGAGGCACAGATTCAACGGAATCAAGGTAGTCAAAGTTTGCCCTTGTACATTCCAGAAAGCCCATGGTGTGCAATTCCTCTGGAAGAATCATTTTCTCAGCAAGGTACTCATCCTGTTGCAAGAGCTCATAGACGGCAGACGCTGTCTTCTTGTTGTCTTCTTCTTGTCTCATGTCAGCAGACATCATCTCCACAAGTTGGAACCGATTCAGGATCTCTTGCAAAGCCGGCCCCAACTTTGCATACTCCTTCTTGGAGGATGAATGCAAACACACACACATTCACATATAACTATGCATATACTACCTACTGGTGAGTCAAGACTTTGAGTATCCAATCGTCCCCACAAAAAGTTCACAATTGTCCACAATCTGTCACAGAGAAACACTAATTGTGAAACAGTCACCTCCTATCTCAGTCACCTCCTAAGCAACCATAATGTAGCCATGCACAGACATCCAAGGACATCCAAGGACATGCTATGACATGGACTGGTACCAGCACAAGTCCTATCTCATGTGTTGGCATCCGGCCACACATGCCCTGGGCCCTGGGCACACCATTTTTTTTAACAAAAAACTCAAGAGCGTTCCTGTTTTGCCTTGCTAGGCTTTATGAGATAGGAGTTGTGGACCAAACACTGGTCAAACAGTACTTTTCTTCATGAGTGAGATAGGACATTGATTTTTTTGGCAGTCCGACAAGTCCTAAGTCACTGGTGAGTAGTCCGTCTGTATGTTGACCACCTGGCAGCTGCCTACCTGCATACCTATATGACATTTGAATCATACTGCTTATAAACACAGGCACACAATATTCGCAATCTACAACATAGCAAATGCAAACAGTAGAAAGCTCAATCCTCCGGGGTGACCTCAGCAGCTAGCTTCTGAAAGGTCTTTAGACACAACTCATTGGCTTTCTTAACCTTGTTCTCCAAGTTGTTGAACTCTCGCAAGGTAGTCTTCCGCACTTTGCAGCATGCTGCAACTGGACACTTCACCTTCTGCAGCAGCTTGTCAATCACAGTACCTGATGACCCAGGCCCACGAGGCACCACCTGAGCTTGAGATGAACGGTTGGTATTCCTTGAAGATGTTGCTGGTGCCGTTGGCCCACCACCTTTGATCGCACTTGTGGCAAGGGAGGGAAGGCCAGCAGTCAAGGAAACCTCATCACAATCAAGTGCCTCTGCCAGCACTGTGTCAAATGAATGCTTCATTGAAGCCAATGAAGTCAGTGAAGCCTTCTCCTTCTTGTCTACCAAAAGCGAAGCCCCTCGGTCATCGTAGTTGGCATGCTTCGCTTTGTAGGACGTTTGCACATAGATGCGCCAAATCAAACGCCCACTAGGCTCCCCATCCTCATTCAAGGTTTCGACCTGGTCTTTTTTTGGCACTGGATTGAAAGTCCTTGTTCCACTTCCTGCTTACGATTTCTTTGGTCTTGAGTCCTTGGCCAAACGGAACTGACATTCATGTACTGGTTGTTTGTGCTGTAGTACTTGGTGGTGGAATCACAAAAAAAGAGTGGAATGCAGTCAGACCTCTGACCTCACACAGACACAGCCTCACAGAAAAGTATCCTGGTGAAAAAAAAGAAGATTCTTTGGTAGCTTGGAGCCTTGTTCATGTACCAGTCCAGGTATTCAGCAAAGGCCATTGGAGTGTATACTGCCTCCTCTGTATCACGCACCCCAGCTGTCCTGTGTTTTCTCAGCGTACAAAAGTCATAGTCAAATTCCTTCTCTGCCGAAGTCCTGCCTGGAGTAGCGCTGCACCTTGCCAGCCAAACTCTGACAGGACCGGATTGCTTCAGCCAAACTCTTACAAACCTGATTCACTCACTCAGCATATACTTCTGCAAGCGTGCAAGTGGATCTAAAACAGTCTAAGCCCACAGCCCAGCACAATACTTCTTGAAGTGCAGCAAATACATCTCCTTCGCCATGTACATACTGTAACATAATTTCACAGTCACCCACAGGGACCCACAGCCCACACACACTGATTGACTGATGCCTCAATTAGCACAAGTCGGCCTTGCCTTCTGGTTTTTCTCAAGGTCATCCAATGCCTCAGCCTTGCCGGCTTTAGCCGCTTGCTCGTGAAATTTGCGTCTCCGGCTGAAGTGCCTTGTGCACAATTGTGTCAACCTAAGCAGCAGTTGGTAGTGTTCAGGAAATGAACAGGAATAACGGCAAGGTTGGCTTGACAAACAGAGCGACAAATGTAGTAGCAATGCAATGCTGCTGCAGTGGTAGTGTCTGAGACTCTCACGACCGAATTCTCCGTTGGCATTTGCAAGCGCACACCTCGCACTCTGTCTCTGCAAATGGTGCAGCCGGTGTTGGAGGCGGAGGAGGTGTCGACATGATCATTGGACTTGGTGGTGTCCCTTTGGCCACCAATGCGCCAGCACCAGCACCACCATCCATCTCCAAATGCAGGACAGGACGCCGTGGAACCAAACAAACGCCCAAACAATGTTCCAGTTCGAGTCCAAACCCTGAGGTAAGGTTCAAGTTTGAGTCCAAACCCTGTGAGTGAGGTACCGTTTAGTCATGTTTAGTCTTAAATCTCGAATCTCAATTTTCAAATGTCTTGTCCTGTTTTGCCCATCTCTCCTTACTCCTCGCAATACCTCTACTAGCAATGGCCTGCAACCTACTAGTGATGAATTAGCAATTTGTAATGTGCAATGTGCACTGGAACTCTCAATTGCATTTTTCCAACCTTGAGTCAACGTCCTGACTCCTGACTGTCAGTCTCTCTAATTATTGCAACTCAAACGTGTTGCGCGCTGAATGATTTCAGTGCAGCAGCTCAGCAACCAGGAGCATCCTGTGGCGTTGGCTGCCATGTCAAAAGCAAAGCGCACCATATTGATCCGACAACAGTCATATGCATCGCCTGAGGCCGTTCGAACAAGTTTGATGGAGGGACTGGAGGTCAACACCTGCCATTGGACAACAGGAAAAGAACTGCTTCTTGGTGATTCTTGGTGGTTGGTGTTGGTAGCGAGTAGGAGTTGTTGGAAGAGAGGTTAGATATAGTTGGATACTGGGTGATTTTCAAGGCACGTTATTTAGAGTAGAGTGCATCCAAATAGCCAAAGTCGTGGCAGGTTGCAGGTATATGCAACGACGGACCGCAGGCTGATGCAAGAACCGCACGGTGTGAGCTGGATGTGAAGCCAAAACTGACTACAGTTTGGTTCATATGTGTTCAAGTTGCACGTTGCACTTGCACTGCCTACAAATCTGTCAATCAAAATCAAAGCACAACACTTCAACACGTGGTGTGTAAATGATCCAAATCCTGTGGTGCGCAAGTGATCCCCTGACCCACCACAGCAAACACTGGTGTCTTGCCAAGTGGCGTTGCCAGCTAAACTCTTCTGCGCATCAGCGGACAAATGACACTTCTTCTTAGTGTCAAGGAGAGGAAACGGCAAGTCCGAGCTGAAGGTTGGCCACATTGGAAGGCCCATCAGGTTAAGATGCTCCTAAGCAAGTCACTGAAAGGTTGGTCTCAACTCAACGCACACTGACTCAATAGTTGGAGTTAGAGCGGACTGACATATTGCGCAGGAAACAGCTGAGAAGCTGGCAGATCCAAGCAATGGCCTTTCCTCTGGTAGAGTAGCCTTCTCAGAGGTACTAGGACTGCCATCACGCCCATGGTTCTTGTGAACCAAGAACATAACACCCTTCCGCAACAGGGTGGGACAAAGAATCCCACAGATGGGTCGCTTTGCAGGATTCTGGCATAGGTTGACAATGCAACTGGAGAAGCCTGAGTTCGCTAAGTCGCTAACGCTCGCAATGGTGTGATGGTCCACATGGAAAAGACAAATTTATATAACGGAATATAACGTTAACGATACCCTGCACTTCATGGTGGCACTGGGAAAAGCATATGAACTTAACTGAACACCACCACCAAGACCACCACTCCACAAAAATTCATTGTTCAATTCATGGAGAGGACCCTTTGTCCAAAAACTTTGCACTTTCTTGTGGTTTCTGTACCCATCAAGCCAGACTGGTTGAGCTCCTTCATCATTCAAAAACTTGCAATTAATTCTACTGGTAGTCAGTAGTGACTCCTGATTGTATTATGATTGAAAAAATGGCACGCCGCACACGCAACCACTAGATAGGTAAATGCTGTCCTGACAGAAGCGAAGTAAATGGGGAGGTCTTTGCGCGCTTGCACTTTGCGGCCAGATCAGCCCTGTGCTTCTCAACGTCTTCCTCAGATCCGCCCAGGGCCAGGGCTCTGTATTGGCACTGATTTTGAAATTTGACAACTCCAATATTATTTATGATGCAAATATAGCAACAACTCTAGGGTAGCAATGCCAAAGCTTCCATTGGAGCACAAAAAATGTCAGAGACTTTGCATGTTGGCTTCCGGTACAAGGCATGTATGCAGTTCAGACCCTGGCCAATCAGCTGCCCCCTCTCCCGCCGGACAAGAACAGTGTACAACCGTGGGCGGAAGCTTGGCCAGCCAAAGTGATGCTGAGACAAAAGCCAATCGCTGGACCCTTGACTGCAATGGCTGGACATGGGCAATCCCTCCAAGGCCTTCCAGAAATGAAACAAACTCTCAAGCACCTGCATCCTACACATACATACATACATACATACATACATTCATACATACATACATACATACCATAACAATATCTCATGGTGACACACATTCCACAAATCCAATATGCCAACAGTGAAGTAGCATTTAGACAGTCAACCAAAGTAATGTCTACTAGCCTTTAGCATCAGGGTTTCATGCTTGTTTTTTTAATCCTTCACGCCAGCCTGCGGTTTGGACACAGTGTATGCATCATAGTCAGGAAGGTACTTGCCAAAAAGTGAGCGCATGAAGCGGCCTGTGCACTCATGCACAATTGCATCTGGCTTTGTGATCAAAATCTCACTCAACCATATTGCTAAGGGCTTTGAAGAATCTCCAAGTAAACCTCGTCTGCTACCAATTGCTGACACATCCACACAAGAGGTTCCAGCTCCATAAACGACAAATGTCTTCTCACGGTAGTCCTTCTCTTCTGTCCTCCACATACCCACAGGTGTCAGGCAACCCTTGGCGCGTGCATTGGCCATACAAAGACACAAGCGGGGAAGGAATCATTTCATGGGACATGTCAGTGACACAATGCAAATTGAGCAACTCTCAGAACAAAATATGTACATTCATTCAAGTTGCTGATGGGTAAGCTT